TCCTCTTCTCCTCCTATTTTCTCCTCTACCTCTTCTCTTCCTCCTTCATCTTCCTTCTTCTTCCTCCTCTCTACTATTTTCTCCTCTACCATTTCTCTTCCTCCTTCCTTTTTCTTCTTCTTCCTCCTCTCTTCTTCCTCCTCTCTATTTTCTCTACCTCTTCTCTTCCTCCTTCTGCTTCCTTCTTCCTCCTCCTCCTCTTCCTCCTCCTCTCTATTTTCTCCTCTACCTCTTCTCTTTCTTTTTTCCTCCTCCTGCTCTTTCCTCCCGCTCCCCTCCCCCTCCCCATTTCCTCCTTGTTCTCTTTTCTTATTCTTCTCTTTCTCCTCCTCCCTCCCCCTCCTTTGGCCATGTCTAGGTTGATGGACTCACAGTGCAAAGTCCCTTCCGTGCGGAGGGCCACGAAACACGGGGAAGGGATCCTTTGGAGCCCATCAGATCTTGGAGAACAAGTTTGGTAGAGCCCAAGAGGACCCCATCAGAGGAAGAACCTCGCCCTCTTCGTGCCTTGGCTTTGAAATAATGCTAAGGACTAGAAATTTGGGGGAGCCAGTTGGCTCAGCCACCCTTGACTCTGAGGTCTTTTCACTTCGGGGGTCAGCCTCCCTCCCCAGAAGAATGGGAGAGTCCAGAGGAAGGAGGAGCAGTCCTGACTCACCTGGACTGATTGGGGGGAGCCCCCCAGGGCGGTGGGGGAGGGAGACGATGGGCCCAATCGATTGGGCGAGACTTGGGGGGAGCCAGTTCTGTCCCAGGGCAGGGGGGCACTCACTCCCAGCGAGGTGATCAAGCTGGAGAGGAAAGAGGGGGGTCAGTGGGAAATTGGGGAGGGGGGTAGAGACCCCGAGAGACCCTTCCCCTCCCAGTCCTTACTCTGTGCAGCGCGTGATCACCAAGGTGGGTTTGCTGGGCTTGGGTGGAGCCCCTCCCTCGCTGGGGGCCTCAATGGTGCAGGACAGCTGATAACTGGAAGGGGGAGAGAGAGAGAGAGAGGGCGGTGAGTCGGAAAGGGGGAGAGGACGGGGGAGATGTCTAGGTGCAGCTCACCGCCCCTCCAGAGCCCCCCCCCACTCACCTCTGGGCCTCGCTGAGGAGGGGCAGGCACCGCAGCCATCGCTGGAGGGCCCGGTCGGGGGCCAAGGTGTAGTTGCGGCATTTGGCCTGCAGGAGGCGCAGCCGGGTGAGGATCTCAAACTCCTGCAGGGGAGGCAGAGGAAAGGAGCAGGGGGGGTCCTTCCAAGGGGGGAGGGGGGCCAAGGGGGACCCCTACTGCAGAGGCCTCCAACCTTAGCAACTTCAAGGCTGGTGGACTTCAGCTCCCAGAATTCCTCAGCCAGCAAAGCTTACTCTCTTGCAATCCCTTCCTCTGCACTCTCTCCTCTTTGGAGAGGAGAGGAGAAAAAGGAACAGACACGGCTTGGCTGAGGAATTCTGGGAGTTGAAGTCCACAAGCCTTAAAGTTGCTAAGGTTGGAGGCCCCTGCCCTACTCCACCCCCCACCCCCCCCCCCCCCCCACGCCCCACCCTCGCCCTCCGCTGCCCCCCCCCGCCCCCCTCCCCCCCCGCCCCCCCCCCCCCCCATGATTGTACCCATTTCAGAGAAGGACTGCGAGGCGCACAGGAAGCTGCTTCTGCCACACTGTTGAGCCCCACCGCCTGCACAACACACACACACATACACACACAAAGAGGATTTGGGCCGGGCGGCAACCAGCTCAATTGGTCAGATTCAACTGTGTCGCCTACACCGGGGTCCCTAACCTGGGCCCCCTTTAAGACTGGTGGACTCCAACTCCCAGAATTCCTCAGCCAGCTGGCTGAGGAACTCTGGGAATTGAAGTCCACGAGTCTTAAAGGGGCCCAAGGTTGGAGATCTCCGGCCTACCCGATTGTGGAGTTCCAACGGATGAAGTGGACACGCTTCATCAGTTGAATTCCCGCCTCCGCAGAGCCGTTCGAAGGAGGGCCAAACTCTTGGAAGCCGAGACTCTCTGGATCTTGTTATCCCCAGCCGGCCACCTCTCTGTTCCCATAATCCACAGCACCAACCAAGCAGGGGGGGAAAGCTTCCGTAGGCCCCCTTGGAAGAGGCTGACCCAATGCTACACACACACACACACACACACACACACACACACACACACACGTATCCTTCGACTTAACACCACAACGGAACTCCAAATTTCCGTTACTAACCAAGGCAGTTGTTCAGTGAATTCTGTCCCCTTGGTTGGACCCTTTTTGGCCCCAGTTCACTGCAGTTGCAAAGTGAACCATTGGTCGTAAGTGTGAGAACCAATCCTAGTTCACTTTTTGCAGTGCCGTCGTTATCTCCGAATTTTAATAGAGGGTTGTAACTTGAGAACCATCCGGACGCACACACAACCTTGAGCCTCGCACAAATGCACCAGCTTTGCTGCTTCCACACAGCCCCCCCTCCCCGCAGCCTGCAGACCACTCCCTCTACCACCCAAGCCCCCTTGCTGGGGGAGGGGCAGCAAAACCCGCCTGGCTCTCCCCCCACAGGACTCACCTGCAGGCGGGTGGGGGTGGCCGCATCCAGCATCACCAGGTCCTTCAGGAAGGTGCCCAGGTAGGGAATCACGCCCTGCAGGGACGCCCGGAGGTTAAGGACCATGGGGGCCCCTGTCCCCTCCCCAAGACCAGCCCCCCCTCCTTGAGAGCAGACCCCTCCCCTCACCATTGGGCGTTGTTCCAGCAGCCTCCGCTGATGCTTGCGATGGGGAAGTTCGGCCCCTCCCACCGCTGCTCCAGGCCCACCTTCCTGGGGGAGCAAACGGGGAAGAGCTGGGAGGGGGGAGGAAACACCCCCACAAACACCAATAGCCCCCCCCAAGGCCTACAGGAGCCCCCATAATCCAGCACTGAAATGGGGGGGGCACAGCAAACACATCCAGCTTCGATCCACCGTCAAGCCAAGCTTCCAATCCCCTTCTACGGTCTCGGAGGGATGCATCATCCCCTGCTAGGATGCAACCGGGGACGATGGGAGTTGAAAACCCAAGGATGGCACCCATATCGGGGGCGTGCGCGCGCAAACAATCAATACTTCCAAGCCGGGAGAATACCGCAGTCGTATTTTCTGGCCCTCCACAGAATACGGGCACCACAGAAACACTGATGTTAAAGCCCCGTTTATCTCAACGTGTTCTGACCCAAACCTGGTTCCGAGGAAACCAACACCAAACAGAAGTAACAGCAAAACCGTTTAATGATCCATTACGAATTCCGTTCCTTCACGGTTAAAAGGCTGCTTCAAACTAACTGTCTCTGATAAGAACGAGCCTTGCCAAGGTGGTGCAAGGCTGCCAAGAACACGAGATAAAGTAACCGAGAAATATTTCCAACTCAAAGAGTCTCCAAACACCAACCAAGATGCAAAAACGCCTTTGCTTCCTGCAAAGAATCCTGGTGTCAACTCTGAGATTCAGCTGCCAAAAATGAAAAGGGTGTGTGTGGAGGAGCTGGAAAGTTCGAGATAATTCCGTATGTCTCATTAAGAAATTCCAGCTGCAGTTAATTGGTTCTTGTGATTAATCAAGTGTAGAAGTGGGAGGAGAGAAGATGGATTTTGTGTAACTCGCGAAAATGACTTTCCCTTTTGGAAATGCCATTGAAATACCAGAGCTGTTCCTAATAAATCAGTTGGAGATTATATTGTCTCGGAGTGACTGATTACCGTGGACAATTCTGGATGCCTAACACCTGGTCTCTCAGGCGGGTTTTTATCCCTTAAGGGAGGGACCATCACCTTGCAGCCTTTACTCCCGAGTCGCCCGTGCTACTGCAGCTGCTCTTTCCTTCGAACAGCCCTGCGTGCACGTGAACAGGGCACAGGCTCCTCGGGGGCCTCTTCCTCACTGCTGCCAGCCTCCACAATCTCCGAAGGCAGCACTCCACTCCCTGATGGTCCTGGCCCCATCCCTGAATCACACGCAGGCCCCTCATCTGAGTCCTCGCTCTCCGAGACCTCAGCCGTCTGCACCTGCTGCCGGTGAACCACAACAAAATGCAAACAACCACAGGAGCCTCCAAAGCTTCTTTCTCTACCTGCCTCAGCCACTCTTCTCTTCTCACCAAGAAACGCAAATGTATAACGTTGGACACGGCATACGAGGAAAACCTTTATAAGATGCTCTACCAGGTGTGGGTTTTCGCCGTGGGAGTCGATTTATTTATCCAATCTCTATATTACCCATCTGACTTAAGCAACTGTTTGTACTTTCTTTGGTTATGGGATTGTTCCCTGCTTAGTTGTTTGTCTGGGGTTAATCTCTGCTTATCTGGACATTGGCTGTTGGAGGGAATGTCTTCTGGTGTTTTTCTTTCCCCTCTTAGCTTTCTTGCGGTCTCGTTCAAACGGGGAGCGAACGTGTTTCCGTCTCTTTGCGGCTGATTTGTCTGAATGTCAACCTTGCAGGAATTCCCTAGAATTTCCCTAGAAGGTCTCCACCTTCGGCAACTGTGGACTCCAACTCCCAGAATCCCTCAGTCATCATCCCTGGGAGTTGAAATCCACAAGTCTTAAAATTGCCCAGGTTGGAAACCCCTGTGCAAATCTGCCTATTTATCTTAGGCCAGAGGCCTCCAAACGTGGCAATTTTAAGACTGGTGGACTTCAACTCCCAGAATTCTCCAGCCAGCTCTGGAGAATTCTGGGAGTTGAAGCTCACCAGTCTTAAAGTTGCCAAGTTTGGAGAACCCTTAGGCTGTGGTTGTTGCTGTGATGACCCAGAGCATATCAGAAATATAACAACAACCAAAACGTAAATAAAAGTCCTTGAATGCTTTCAACTTGGCTTCACTGTTTAATTGTTCACAGTGGAGGAGTAAACTATTTTCAAAATAACATTTCAAAAGAAAGAAACACAGTTCAAATTCAAAGAGCCGACAACGAAGCCAAAAACAAAAACAAACCGCACTGAATAAAGTTCCACGACAGACCAGGATGGATAATTGCCAACTTCAGGAAGATAACTAGGGACAGTCCGTTGGAAGAACGCCAACCAAGATAAACCTTCTTTAGGAATAAAACACTAAATTGTCTCTAGCATCTGTTAGCACGCAGGTCCAAACTCTTATGCAGATCTCACACCTGCAACCCATGAAGAGGATCATGGCCTCCGCCCCCTGCGCATGCACACCAGATACCCAACAATCAGCTGTCAGTTGGCGCCGCACGCACGCACAGTGGTGCTCTTCCGGGCGACCTCTCACATGCCGGGGAAAATGGCTCTGCGTGCCACTTCTGGCACGTGTGGCATAGATTCGCCAACAAGTCCCTACACCATAGTTGGTTTGTGCGTTATGGTGAAGCTGTTTTGGTGGTAATAGTCCTTTGGTTGTTTCTTGAGATATTTTCAATGTATGGCAAGGATATCCTTTTCACCACCCTTATGCTGGTTGTGTTGTAGTGGGTTGAGTGGTCAGGCGTATTTTAATAAAGTTGCCATGGCATCTGTTTTGCTGGAAAATGGCAGTGTCAGCTTTGAAATTCAGCTGCCACATTGGAGGAGTTGAAAAGTTCAAGGTTATTCTGTATGTTCTATTAAGAAATTCCAGTTGCAGTTAATCGCTTCTCGTGATTTATGAAGTGTAGAAGTGCGAGGAGAGAAGGGAGAAGGTGGATTCTGTGTAACCTGCGAAAATATTTTCACTTTGGGAAATTGCTTTAGACCTACCAGATCTGTTTCTAAATAAATCAATTGGAGAGAAAATGTCTCAGAGTGATTGATATCATGGATACTTCCTGGATGCCTTACAGGCAGCCTGTTTCCTTTTTCTGGTGTTCTGGGTTGCTGTGGTACGCTTGTATCCATCTGAATTATATTCTTACAAAAGTTGGGTGGTTATTTGGTTACAAAGTTACTTGGAAACCAAAAAGCGAAACAAAATGACTGAAATTCCTCCTTGTCATCAGCCAACACCCAGATAAGCAGGGATTAAGCCCAGACAAACAACCAAGCGGAAAACAATGCCCGAATCCAGGACGTATGGAAGAGAAAAACACACTCCCACCGAAACTGGCAGGGCCAGCTGCTGTGTAACGACAGAGCAAACTCCACCCTCACTAGCACTGAAGGTGTTCTGTCTCGCCGTTCCTCTTTCCCAAAAGATGAAAGAGTACACACACACACACACAAACACAGGCAGGCAAGCTGGCTCGGACTTCGCAGAGTTAATTCTTTGGAACTGATAATATTCTTGGCATTCCACCACGTCCTGCCTGCCAAGTCCGAACGGGCAGCAAATAAAGTTTTACTCACAGAAAATCACAAGGTAGCCCACAAAATAATCATTCACGAAGAAACTCTGAAGTAAGATCAAACTTTGTCCCGTGCAAAGTTTAAGGAGAAAACACACCCACTTTTATCCCCTGTGGGGTGTGGCTCAATGACTCAGCTGACTCTCTGAACTTCCCACGCCGCCTACGTTGCTGTTCTCTCTACGACGCTGCTTGGGTTCAAGCCAACACTCTTCCTCTTGACTCCCTGTCAGGGGCTGCTCCGATATGCCTTCCTCCTGATTAATCTCAGGCTGTTCCTCTTGGTTGTCTGATGGAACCTGAGGCATTACCAGGGAGGAAGGTCCTGGGGAGGAAGGCATTCCCAGTTCCTCCCCCTCATCTTTCAGGTCCTCTTCCTCTGACAACATAGGCTCGGGAATCGGGGCCACAACAGAAGGTGTGACCTACTCTGGTAACAAAACGTCTGCAAGCAAACAACCAAATTCGGAGAGCACCAAGGACTCCACAGTCCATTCCTGAGCCACAGCGATGGACTTCTATTGGAAACGCCCAGATAAACGGGGATTAATACCAGACAAACCATCGAGCATAAAACAATACCAAGGAACTACCAAGGAGGAAATCACACTGGCTGTGTGGGATTTTGCAAGGTTGTGCAAGGCTGCCAAGAACACACGATTAAATTGCAAGGAAATATTCAAAGCCAAAAGTCTCCAAACACAAACCAGGATGGGCTGAACTTCCACGAGACTTGAAGTGCAAGGA